CTTACCAGTGGACATATCACGAAACCAATCCAAGCTAGTCGCTATTTAAAATTGACCACGAACACGTAGCCCGTGTAGACGTGCCAACGTGGTATGATTCTGATTTGTACCATTTAACGTGTCTGCGAGGGATTCGTGAGCAGATACGGAGTAGCGTACATATTACATAGGGCGATGGGGTGGAGATGTGGAGAGAGACGGTGAAATTGGGTAGCGGGATCGGCCCTCACTTTAGGCCTAACCCGGGAAATGTCTCCTCCGTACTCTGTACTGCGTACAATATTGTACGGAGTATGCAGTCCTGCACATGCTGTTACCGATGCAATAGCTCCACGCGGATCATCCGTTGTGCTTAGGCGGCCTTGGCTCAGGCGACTCGTCGATTTGTCTCGCAGACAGTTCACTCGCTGCAGAGGTCATAGCTCCTTTCGTCCACTTGCATGGCCTTTTTTCCCTCTCCCTTTTGCATTGGATTGAGTCGTATCATTGGGCACTATGTATTCTGTATGTCTGTATGGGAAGTGCCTGGAGTACCGCATTAGGAGAAGTTCGGGTGAACACCTTGCCACCTTGGTGTGGCGCGGCGAGACGGAAGCCATAATTTGGGTTCTGTTCCCAGTCCAATTCAACTCTAGTTAGTGTACTTAGTACGGAGTAGTTAGTGGTCAGCTAACTAGTTAAGTTAGCCTTGGAGGTAACTAACTAGTTCAGATATTAGTTTTCATCGTACAGCTGACTCCTGAATCATCACGTGAAAGCGCCCTTGAATGCACGGGCGATTCAACATTCCGATCATTGGGCCCGAGACCAGATGCTTGGGTGATACGTCCGCGTGGGTATGCAGAGGAATCCGGTAAAGTCAAAAAAGACAAAAAATTGAAAGAAGACGAAAGAAAGAGAAAAAAAAACTCTTTAAAAACTCTTTAAAAACTCTTTAACTATGTAGTATAGATATGCCCAGTAAAAAGATAGGGGGTCCTATTTTCCAAGGATATAGTTTCTTTAAAATGACCTAACTGGGCCGAATATTGTAAATAATCTATAATAATCTCCAATATAAGAACCAATTAATTCTAATAATTTCATTTAAATCCCAAAAATCCACTAAGATCCACTAAAATCCCCCCAATTGCCTTAGCCCCAACAGCATAACTTTCTGGGATCTCCACTTTCTTGATTCCGTCACTGTCGCCTCACTGAGTCAGCCCCGTCTCTGGTTAGAAGTCTGTTTCTTTGGCTTTCTCCCGTGTCTTCCGACTTACCCTATATATAGGTTGGTCGTGCTGGACTTTCCTTTCCTCCCCCTTTTACAACTTTCTACTTACGTCCCTCTTTTCCCCGCTTGCCTCCGCACGTGAGCCCGGCGCTTATCTCAAACCTCCTCAGCGTCTCGCCTTCACTACTTCTACTCCCTATTTCTCTATCTCTCTTCCGCAGAAGTACCTCTATCTCCTCCCCTCTCTCCAACCCGCCTCTATCTACCCAACTCAACCACAATGCCTCCCCGCAAGCCCCGTTGCAACTTCAAGGAGTGCAAGGAAGCCGCCCAGCGTATCGTCGGTGACTGCAGCTTCTGCGCCGGGCACTTCTGCTCCAAGCACCGCATGCTAGAAGCCCACTCCTGCACCGGGCTGGAGGACTGCAAGAAAGAATCACACGCCCGAAATGCCGACAAGCTGAACAGCGAACGCACCGTCGTTGTCAAGGGCGTATGAGGAAGGAGACCATAACCAGAATGAGAAATAGCCGCTCCTTCGCTTTTCTCTCGGCTGAACAAAGGGGGGCGGATGGCACCATCCCCTGAGGATGGCCAGCCTAGTCTCTGTAGGCTCGGGCCATATCGCCTCCTTCCCCCTATCTTATCTGCCTGCATCAGCCGACCTGGTACCATCCCTGCTAGGCTTGGCTTCGATTCGGTTCGATTCGACCCGATTCTTCCCTTTCTTGCGTGCGTCTGCGGTGATCTTGGATTTAGCGCGGTGTTTCGTTTTACTCTTTTTCCTATGCTCGGATGTTCGGGATTGGGTTTCGTCCTTTCTTTTTGGTTGTTCGTGATCTATATCTAGATCGGATTCTATTTTTTTTTTTTTTTTGGCTACGGCTACGGTTTATTTGGGGTGAGTC